CCATCTTTTTCTGCTCACCCCCTCTGAAGCACCTGGCATTGGCCATTGTCGGAAGACAGGACACTGGAGTAGCTAGACCTTTGGTCTGACCTAGTGTGGCCGTTCTTACGTTCTGTTCTTTTCACTCCCTCGCTGTGGGCTGGGCCTTAGGCACTGCCCAAGGGAGAGAATTACAGTCAGCCCCTTTCCTTGGGCTGGAAAGCCTGAGCCTAGATAGCCCCTTGGCCAGGACTAGCCCAGGCTGTTGTCAGAACAGCAAGGCCCCTATCTCAGCTTCCTCAGACAGGGTCCAGGCAGCCCACACTCTCTGGGAGGGTCCAGGCCCAATGGGATGAGGGACCTGGGTGGGCTGGCCATAGCAGGCCTGCTGGGGTCCCACATGGGGTGCACAGGTTGGAGGCCAGTGCTAGTTAGTGTCCCGAGTCTGAATTTCCTAGCAGACAGCAGCAGGGCTCAGCAAGCCAAAGCCCACGGCCCGCTACAGGAGCCACATGAGCCAGCTCAGCTCCCAGGGAACGGGGGGAGGCCAGCAGCAGGGTGACCGGAGTACTGCAAGTCCACCACGGGGTGTCACACTGGGGGTGCATCTACACCCACTCATGTCAGGAAGGAAGCAGCAGCCCAAGCACACCGCTGGGCAGAGAAGCATAGGCACTCACCACCAGCACGTTCCCCACAAAGCCAGGGCCCGCGTGCAGCCTCTCTGGGTGCTGGACCTTCAGCGACTGCAGGAACATGCACATGCCCGTCAAAAAGTCCTTGGGCTGCCCAATGTCCATCCAGAAGCCTGCAGGGACAGAGCAGCACTCTCAGCCTACGGGGAGGGCAACAGGGACAGGCCAAGCCCCCGCAATAAGCACAGGAGATTCCCCCACATCCTCCTGGATGAGCCCAGAGGAGGCAGCTCATATACCCACTTGATGCCACCGGCACAAGAGGCACACAGACTTGGGGCAGGAGGATTCCTTTGTGCTGGGGCAGAGAGGGGGAGCAGAGGGTGGGGAGATGGATGTCCCCTTTACTCCGGGGCTGGGAAGGGGTCTCAGCGGGGTCCCTTACCCTGCAGCTCCATAGCATAGAGCTCCGCATCCTGAGCCATCACCGGGAAAATCTCCTTCTCTATGGAGGTGGGCCGCAGCTACAGACAGACACACAGGGCCCAGTCAGGGGCATCTCCTCCAACCCTGAGTGCACAGCCTCCCAGTTCCCACAATGCCCTGCAAGCACGTGGCTGTTAAATCTACATGCAGCCTAGAGATTACAGATGGTCATGAGTGCTCCTGGATGGACCTGATCTCTGCCTCCATCCCCCCTGGCTCCAACTCCAGCTCAGTGCCCCAACTGCTGGGAATCCCTCCCCTTCCACAGCCTCCTCTGTCTCCTGGAAAACCCCCAGCCCAACACTCAGCCTCCACCTGCCCTCTGCTACACATGCACACAAACCCGGGGAGGGAGGAGGTGCGGACCAGGAGACATGCATCCCTCCCTCCCACCCCCAGCCATCGCTCTCCCTGCTGAAGGCTGGGCCCACAGCTGGCCAGCTCCCTACCTGGATCCTGTGCAAGAGGCTGGGGTTGAAGATGTACATGCCGGCATTTATCTTATTTGAGACAAACACCTGGGGTTTCTCCACGAACCGGTGGATGCGTCCTGTCTCAGCTTCGCACACCACCACCCCGTACTTGGAGGGCTCCTCCACCTTTGTCACCTGCAGGGCAAAGTTACTGCAAGACACCTCCCTGTGGAATGACTGAGGGAAGACCAGGTGGGTTCTGCCAGGCCAGTCACTGCCAGGCCCCTTTTTACAGACAGGGAAACTGAGACATGGGGCAAGGACTTGGCCAGGATTGCACTGCCAGAAGTCCCATTTCTGCCAGCTGCCAAACAACATAAGGGACCATTTCGGAGGCACGGCGAGGGCAGGAGCAGCAGGTTTGTATAACTTTTGGTGGTGCCCAGAAAGGGACCAAGTCCGCCGCCCCACCCCAACACGCACATCTGCCTAAGGCTTTGGGAGAGAGTTTGGGTGCAGGAGAGGGTTTGGGATGCAGGCTCTAGGAGGAAGCTTGGGTGCAGGAGGAGTGCGGGCTCTAGGATGGAGTTTGGCTGCTGGGGGCAGGCTTTGGGCAGGGCAGGAGGTTGGGGTGTAGGAGGGGGTGCAGGAGGAGGTTTGGGTGTTGGGTGCGGGCTCTGGGAGGGGGTTTGGGTGCTGCGTGCAGGCTTTAGGCTGGGAGAGAGGGTTGGGGTGCGGAGCTGGGCCGGGGATGAGTAGTTTGGGGTGCAGCAGGCAGGCTGCCCCGGGGCTAGAGCAGGGGGCCAGAGAGGACTTCCCCCAGCCCTCTCCCTGCCGGCAGCAGCAGGCTCTGAGGGAGGGGGCCCCCTCCCCAGCCCAATACTCACCCAACTCAGCCCGACACACCCAAGCTCCCCCAAGCTGTTGCTCAGAAGGTCCAGCCAGGATAAGTCCCCCCGCCCACCCTGGAGTCAACTCAGAGTTGCCTGCCAGGAGGGGGGCTGTCATGTGCCTCCTCCCTTCCTCCGGCACAGCAGCCCCCTCAGCCTGCCCCCGGCACCACTCCCTTGTAGCTGGCTGCGGCCAGCGAGGAAGCGCAGTGCGGAGCAGCCACCAGCAGCCCAGGGCAGGCCGGGACGCTCGGGGGAGGTGCGCGGGGGTGGCAAGCGGGGGTGGGGGCAGAGACCCAGCCCCAAACATTGGTGGAGCCAGGCCCCCCCCCATACAACTTGCCGCCCCTGGGGAAGGGTCATAGAGGCAGCGGCAGGGCTGTGCTTCATGCCCGGGGAGCTAATAAGGTGATCAGTCCCCCCCACCACAAAGCGTTGCCCCTGCCAGTAGCACCAGCCTCTTCCCAGGGGGGGAACTGAGGTGGGCCTTAGCCCCTCACATTTCACCAAGGAGCCCTGCCCCATGCTCACTCCCTGGCCAGGCCAGAAGCCAGAGCCAGGCCATGGTAACAGCTGCCCAGGGAGCCTGGGCAACTGTGGGGAACCTCAGACCCTCCACCTAGTCTGGGTGGCGCACCTCTAGGGGCAGGAATACAGGCTGGGGGCTGCTCTTGGGCCCCCTGGCCCCCCACCCAGGGCAGGTGGAGGGTCCTGGGATCCCCACAGCGGCCTGGGCAGCTCTTATCCCGGCCCAGCTCCAGCTTCAAGCAGGGCCAGGGAGGGGGTCTGGGGGTGAGGGGCATAGCCCCCCATTTTTACACAGAATCTAGTACTCCTGACTGTGCCCATAAAAACCCAGGAACAAGTGCAGTGTAGTACGCCAAGTCAGTAGGGGGTGGCAGGAGCCAGTCCTGTTCCGACCCCCTGGAGCCAGCCCTAGGCACTCACCACGATGGAGCCCTCCTTGCCGTGGTGCTTGTGGAAGCGCACCATGTCTGTGAAGGGGAAGTCGCAGATCACGTCGCTATTAAGGACGAAGAAAGGCTCCGAGCTCTCAGTCAGCAGCTCCCGGGCCAGCGCCAGGGGCCCCGCTGTGGAGGGAACATGGCTCAGAGAGAGCTGGCAGGGGGGAAAGGCCACCTGCTGCTCCCCAAGGTGGATACAACAGCTGCCAGCAAGCACAGGCTCTACCCTGTGCTGAGCCAGCCGCTTAGCTTCAGTTTTATGCAAGCAGGGGTGGCGTTGGAATGAGAAGCCTCACCCCATCCCTGTAAACTGCATGAGCAGGTAGTCAGGCCCCTCGGCCAACCCTGTAGGGGGCCAACTGAGCATGTGGGATGGACACAGACTCACCTGTGCCCAGTGGCTCCTTCTCATGGGACAGGGAGATGCGAATGTCTAGCTGAGAAAGATAACAGAATCCAGGGTCAGGAGGATGCACTGCACCCCATTTGCTGCCTCCCAACATGACCCCAATGCCATGCTGCTCTGCCCCTCCCACATGACCCCCTTGTCCCCACACATAGCCCCACCCCTCCCCCACCTAGCTAACCAACCCCCGCCCCTTCCACATGCTCCCACCCGCCCAGCCCCGCCCCTAACCCGCCCACGTAGCCCCCGCCCCGCGCTGTGACCCGATAGCTCCCCCGCGGCCCGGTCTCACCCGCTGTTCCTGCTCCCGCATCGCCCCCTCCAGCACCTCAGACATGTAGCTGACAGCCAGGATCACGTGATCGACGCCCGCCTGCCGGGGAAGGGGAAAGTGCGTTAGCGGCGGGGGCCTGGGAGCCGCCGGGGCGGGGTTCGGGGCCCGGGCCGACCCTACCTGGCGCAGAGCCTCCAGCTGGTGCAGCAATATGGGCTTGTTGCAGAACTCCACCAGCGGCTTCGGGGTGCTGAGCGTCAACGGCCGCAGCCGGGTGCCGTAGCCGCCCACCAGGATCAGCGCCTTCATCGCCCTGTGCGGGAAGCCGCCACGTCAGGCCGGCGCGCGGGGGGTCAGAACCTGCTCCGCTCCCTTTCCGGGTCCCGCCCCCTGTCCGACCGTCACTCCGACTGCCCGGCCCAGCCCGCGCTCATTCACAGGCCTCATCACCTGTCCGGCTCCGCCGCGCCCCTCAGGCGGGGGAAGCCCAGGCTGGGCCGCGCACCAATCCGAGCGGCAGACGTGTCCCTCCACCCCGCCGGCCAATCACACAGCACGCAACGGCATTGCCATAGTAACCGCAGACGTCACAGCAGCGACTCCCGCGCGGGGGGCGACGGTCTGGCGCAGGAACAATCACATCTCAGGAGCCCGCCTCTCGCGTACTGGTGCTGGCTGGTTCCGTCAGAGCGGTGTCCCGTGCTGCTCGTAGATAGGGCAGGCGGCACCCCGCCAAGCAGCTCCAGGGGGCAGCCTCCAGGCCTCGGCCCCGCTCTAGCCTCCGGCCCTGGTGGCAGTGTGCCAGGATAGGGTGCAGGAGGTGAGGTATTTCTCTAGCACAGGATGGCTGTGCCAGGGCAGGGCTAGAGAGCAGGCTGCACACAGAAGAGCTATGGAAGTGTAAGCAGAGTCAGAATGGGCTCTACCCTGACATCTGGTGGTGAGCTGTGGAAAAGGACTTCAGGGGCTGATCTTGTTTGCATGGGCACACCCACCCTGCCTAGCCTGATGGGACTGTTGGCCCAAATGGTCACTTTAGCTGCTGTGGGAAGGACAGTAGAACTGTAGTTGGCACTTTATGATGGAGGGACTTGCAGTCAACTAAGTAGCTCTTGCTAGACAAGGGACATGGGTTCCAAAATCCAGTGAATTGAGAGAGGCTGGGGACAGGTATTTGTATCTGGTAGTGTAGGCCCCTTCTGAGGGCCCTAAATGCCACTTTGACTCCTCCTCTCTCCACTGTGTAATAACAGAGCTAATTTTGACTTCATTAGGAATATTGTTACATGCTGCAGAGCTGAAATCACAATACCCAGGTCTAAGTATTAGACCTACTTTGGGCTAGTGGTGCACCAGCACTGAGGCTCCCCTACTACCAGCTGAAATCACTAAAGAGCTAAACTTACTAAGAGCTGAAATCCCTGAGCGCTGTGTTAAGTAGCGGGGGAGCCTGAAGATATATTGGTGAGTGGCTAACGGGACGGCTGGCAGAGAGGAGCGGCTTGTGGTGAAGACTTCAGCAGAACCCCACGGAGAGGCATGCCAATTGACCGTCAACATGAGCAACGGAGCACATAAGGTGCCCCAGACTGTTGCCAGCACAGAGTGCCCAAGGAAAGCAACAGCGGGGTTTGTTGCCCCATGTGCTTCGCGCCAATGAACACAACAGGGTGGAGAAGCAGTCAAAGTTTATTTGAGATCTCAAAGCGGTGCAAGGAGACGGGCACGTCTCAGATCAAGCACACCATCATAAGCAGCTTTTCTCTTTTTATACATTTTGCAGCTAAGCTTTTCCCTTCTTTCCCCCTTCCCCCCCTTCCTCCTATAATAGTTTACATTAAGCAAGTAGCAAGCAATTACATTTAAGCAGTTAAATCATCTTGACGGCTATAAGTCCAGCTTGTTTTAACTTCTCTTTGAATTATTATCTTGTCCCTTTCCTTTGATTTGTTATTTTGCCTTTCAGCCAGAAGTATGCAGGCCTCATTATTACCGCTTAGCATCGGTATGAGCGGTGCTGCACCTGATAACTGGCTGTTACACATTCCAATTTCTGCATCTGGCTTTTAAGGTCGATTAGAGTTTAAACATGGAAGGACTTTGGTTCATTTAGGCCTAGTGCAGGAAGGCTTCATTGACACTCGAGGTCTTCCACCCTCCTGAGTTACCTAGGGTTATGCCTAATGACACCAACAATACCCCCCCCTTCCACCTATGCTGGGAGGTAGACTCAGCGGAGGAACTTCTGTACTTTGGAGGGGCTGCATTGACTAAGGGCAGAAACTGGGGGGGGGGGTGACTGGGTTATTGGACTCAAGAACCAAAGGGAAGGGACATGGTCCAATCTGCTTGGGGGGTGGGTCTTCGGGTTCATGGTTTGTGTTTATGAACCCTAGGTATGGTATTTTCCCAATTTAATGCTGTGTTGTTTACCTCATGTTATTAAAGATTTTTGCTACACCGAGACTCTGTGCTTGCGAGAGGGGAAGTATTGCCTCTTTGAGGCACCCAGAGGTGTCTGTGTAATTTTCCCAGGTCACTGGGTCGGGGCTCGAGCTGGTTTTGCATTGTATTGTTGAAAGGGACCCCCTATGTCCTGAACCCGGCCCTTGCTGCTGTCAACTCGGCCTCACAGAAGGGTTACAGAAGAAAGAGAGAGGAGAAAGAAAAGACCAGCTGGACCTGCTAGAGAAGCAGAACCAGAACCCCCTGGTCCGAACGACTTCCATCACTCCAGAAATCCGCAAATGGGAACACTTGTGTCCTGCATACAGTGAGGATGATGATATTACTGAATATCTGACTACCTTTGAAAGGCTGTGTGTAATACATGAAATCCGTGATGATAAGAGCGTTCCTTCTCTGATTGCAAAATTAACTGGTAAATCTTGAAATGTATTAAATGGAATGCCTATTGAGGATGCTTTAGACCAGGGGTCCCCAACACGGTGCCTGCGGGCACCATGGCGCCTGCTGGGGCATCCATGTGCGCCCATGTACTGGCCGCCGAGAAGTGGCAACGTCAAGAAGTGCTACCACTGAAATGCCGCTGAATTTTGGTGGCCACGCCTCTTGATGACGCTGCTTCACGGCGGCATTTCGGTGGCGATGCCTCTTGACATTGCCGCTTCATGGCGGCATTTCAGCAGCTGCTTGTCCGGCAGCCATGGTCCTTGGCGGCTAGTCATCTGGCGCCCACCCCACAGAAAAGGCTGGGGACCACTGCTTTAGACTATTGTCAATTTAAAGATACTATTTTTCGAAGTTTTCAGATTACCCCCTAATCATATAGAATTAAATTTAGGAATCTTAAAAGGGTTATTAGGATGAGTAATGAGGAATATGTAAACAACATGAAAGCTTTGTTGGGAAAATGGGTGAGGGGTAAAGAGGGCAAGTTTTAAAGAAATGCTTGATCTTGTTGCTTAAGAGCATTTCTTAAGCATATGTACAGCTGAAGTAAAGCAGTGTCTATGGGACCAAGATGTAAAGACTGTGGTTGAGATGGCTTTTTTAGCTGATGGCTCTGAACAGACTCGGGCGTCTATTGAGGGCAGGCCACAGAAAGAGGGGTTTAAAACTGGTGGGAAGGGTAGATCCCATTTTGCCCCTGAGAAGAGAGAAGGGGGTTGGGAGCCTAAACATTCTCTTACCCAAAAACATCCCTCTACTGGTAACTCCTGTCCCAAATCCCCTGTAAAAGCAGAAGAGCCCAAAAGGTGCTATCAGTATAATTCCATTTATCACCTGAGGAATATATGCCCTGTGCTAGGAGGAATCCAATAGCTCGTTAGTTCTGCTGTCCTCAGCACAGAAACCCCCCAAGCAATCGAAACCTATCATATTGTTTTTGTGCGATTAGCCTCTGCAGAACCAGATATGGAGCTTGTTAAGGTTGTCCAAATTAATGGCAGGGAATACTTGAGGCAGAGGGTTACAGGGACCCAGATCTCTCTGGTTAAGCAGAGTGTGGTCCCAAAGGCCAGTATGCTACCTGGCCAAATGGCAGAGATTGTGGGGGTGGGTGAAAGCAGATTTCTCATGCCACTAGCTAAAATCCATGTGGTGTGGGAAGGTTTGGAAAGTTTTTTGACTGGGGGGGTAATGGAACACCTCCTAGTCAACCTGCTCCTTGATAATTATTTTTTCTGTGTAGCTCAGGTTAAAGTATTTGCCTGCAGCAGTAGGGAGTTCTATGCCAGGACCCCCGAGGGAAAGGGTAAGGTCTCAGGAACTGCTGAGAGAATGGGAGAGAGTCTCCTTGATTCTTCTGCAGCAGGGAGAAGCCACATGCTTCCAGGTGGGAGGGTGGTAGAGACCAACTCCTGCACTGCAGCAGGAGGTAACACCACATCAGGAAGGGATGGGAGTGTAATGCCTGCCAGGGAGAGGACTGTCCAGGTTGTTAGCTGCCAGCAGGTCGCAGCTGAACCAGAGATAAAACTGGATTTAAGGAGCACAGAGAAATGTGGCCCAGAGAAGGGGCAGGGAACCTCAGAAACCACTGAGGTGGGTGAGGATTCCTGTGACTCTGTAACACAGGGAAGCAGTGTGTTTCCAAGTATGGGAGGGGCTGAGACTAGCTCCTTTCCAGCAGAAGGCAACATGCCCACAGGGGCGGGAGAGGTGGTGTCAGTGATTAAGGAAACTGTCACAGTTGTTAGCTGGTAGAGTTTTTTAGCTGAACAAGGGATAGAACCCTTCTTAGGGAGCACAGAGAAATGTGTCTTAGGAGGAGGCCTAGAGGAGGAAACTGGGGAAGGAATAGTGGGGGTACAGGAATGTCTCCTCACTGGTCATTTGGGAGAGGATGCCCAGGACAGAGTGGCTGAGTCAGCATCTGTGCACCCAGGCACTCAGCCCATGACCCAGTGTTTGAGAGGGTACTGTGTGACTGACTTCCTGGAGGGGTGATGGAGGGTACCCCAATCCAGGTCCCAGTTTTTCAGGATGCTATTTCTGATAAGTTTTTGGAAAGTAACTGTGTCTCTTTACATCAAGATGCAGCTTCAACGCCAGGGATAGCAGAGCTGATACCAGGAAATTGCCAGGTGGTAGTTTGTGAGAACAAATGACAGAGAAGGGGGTGTTTTCCTCCAGGCTGGGGAGAGACAGAGAGCAGTTATGGAAAAGCTGCTGGGAACAGGTGCATCTGATCAAAGGGCAAACATACCTAGCCCAGAGAACACAGATCACAGAGTTCTAGGGAGCATGGAAAGACTCAGTGCTGGGAGGGGGAAACACAGGGTTACCCCAAAAGGGGAGCTGGATTTTCTGCATATGTACAGTCCTGGTGTTGGGAGACCGCTCCCCAAAGGGCCAGCCAATGTGCAGGATCCCCCTCAACACCTATTTTGCCAGATCCTGAGGCACCAAAATTCATAAGAACGTAAGAATGGGCCTAGTGGGTCAGACCAAAGGTCCCTCTAGCCCAGTATCCTGTCTTCTGACAGTGGCCAGTGCAGGTGCTCCAGAGGGAATGAACAGAACAGGTAATCATCACGTGATCCATCCCCTGTCGCTCATTCCCAGCTTCTGGCAAACAGAGGCTAGGAACACCATTCCTGCCCATCCTGACTAATAGCCATTGATGGACCTATCCTCCATGAATTTATCTAGTTCTTTTTTGAACCCTGTTAGGGTCTTGGCCTTCACCGCATCCTCTGGCAAGGAGTTCCACAGGTTGACTGTGCGTTGTGTGAAGAAATACTTCCTTTTATTTGTTTTAAACCTGCCGCCTATTAATTTCATTTGGTGACCCCTAGTTCTTGTGTTATGCGATGTAGTAAACAACACTTCCTTAGCTACTTTCTCTACACCAATGATTTTATAGACCTCAATCATATATCCCCTTAGCCATCTCTTTTCCAAGCTGAAAAGTCCCTGTCT